ATGGAACGATGTGTTGAGCGATTTGTGACGTCTCTGTCTATAAACTTATATACATCTTATGACTTAAGATTTTTTTTTCAATTGTATGTATTGTTCGCAAAAGAGTAAATACTAATATGAATCCAATGTGTATGGTTCTTTGTTATACTTCAATACGTTTATATCACACACACACACACACACAGAATTATTGTTTTATACATATTTTACACAATGCAATGTAATATTTTTTTATTCAGATATAGAGGGAACAATAAACAAACATGTATACTCTACTATGAGCAGTATCTTTCATTATTATTAATACACAAGCTTTTATATATATTATACATAGAATATTTTCCTTATATATCTACAACAGTGGAACTCTCAAATATTTATAATAATAATGAACTTGGCACGTCTAAAACCGGGTCTTCAACTTGAATCCGTTGTTGTACGTACTTCCCATCTTGAACGATGGCTTCAGAGCTATAAGTCATCGCTACGACATCTTTGTCACACACATAGATTTGATGGTGTATGTTAAATTTATAAAGAACATAACAGCACACATATTATTATATAAGTATACTTTATGCATTTATTGTTATTTAATTTTATTTAATTTATTTATTTACTTTATTCAAATTTATTTGATTTATTTGATTTATTTGATTTATTTGATTTATTTGATTTATATGATTTATTTGATTTAAAATTAAAACACAATATACAAGGTCAGTATCGAGCTCAATTAGTTCTTAAAAAGATATTATATTATACAATTAAATTAAATTAACATGCCGTTGTTAATTATATAATGATACAAACGTTTTGGCCCTTACTTGAGCCTTCTTCAGTGTAACAATAAATTTAAAATTTAACAATAACGCACATCTTGAAACGCACTTGAAGAGTTTGGAGTTAACAAGTGAAATTCTTACACGTGGAAGTCCTTTGTAAAAGATGAAGTGATAGGTAGTAAGACTTTCTGAAAAAGTTATGTAGTTAAGAGTCCGCACAAATTACAAACAAAAGAGGTCAAAAGCTTCGAAACTTACAAATCCGTCAACAATCAAACACTGAGCAGAGAGCAAAGGCAACGGTTTATATATCATAATCCCCACTATCGTAACAAAGAATATTAGAAACGTCCGTTGAATTTAAAATTTAGAATGTTTGATAATGTCTAGTAAATTAAAATAAAAGTGGTCAAGTAAGTCAGTGTCATCAATCAAATTTAATCCATATGTTTGTTCTTTAATATGGATAGTCTCCGAAATCAATCTTTTGTGAAAATTAAGTTTGTGATCTAAAATCTGAGTATTGTCCCAATTAAAAGAATGATTTAAACATAGTCTATGTTGTGAAATGACCGATAAATGTGAGGATGTTTTCTTGATATCATTTATATGTTCTTTTAGTCGTGTTTTCAATTGCCTTTTCGTCTGCCCAACGTATGATGCACAACAGTTTAAACAGTCAATTTTATAAATAATGTTGTTATTAGAGTCATGTTCAACAGGGTCCTTATGAACTTTTATTATTTTGTTAAGTCTATTGAGACATTTGTATCCCATTATTATGTCCGATTTCTTAAAAGTATAGCTAATGTTCTCTGAAATATTCTTAATGTATGGTAAAACAATTAGCTTTTTGTCTACTGTGGAAAGAGAGCCAATATCGAACAAACTATTAATTTTTTTGCAGATAAATTTTTTAATCCTAATATTAATATTGTTAAAAATAAAATCAAGAGNATAACCATTGTCAAGTAGAGTATTAATAACAAATTCAACATTTTTATTATGAAAATCAGGATGTGACAGCAAGATTGCACGGTCAATAAGACTAAAAATTGTGCCTTTTTTATGGCATAAAAGATGATTGGAAAAAAACGATAAAAATCTTCCTGAAAATGTTTTTTTATGAAACCAATCAATTTCAAGCTTATGATCAACGACATGAATGGATAAATCTAAAAAGTTTATGCAACGGTTATCCTCCAATTCCACAGTAAACTTTATTCTGTCGTGAAACGAATTAAACATGGATACAATGTCATTGTACTTATTCGACGGAGCCGCAAGAACGACGACATCCACATAACGATAATAGAAAGAGATTGAATTATTGAATTTAAAAAGTGTTTTGTTCTCAATATCTTGTACAACAATGTCAGCCATTAAGGGAGACAAAGGCGAGCCCATAGGGGAGCCAAAAGTTTGTTGATAGATGACATCGTCGAACGTAAAATAGGTGGAAGAAAGTACAAAAGTGACCGCATTTAAAAACTCATTCAACGGAATGTTGGTGTTTTTAGAAATGTACGACCATCTATTTCTTAGACCATTAATGGTCAAATCTATTGGAACATTTGTAAATAAAGAGACAACATCCAGAGACAATAAAATATCATCACTTTTAACTTTGAAATTAGAAAGGCGTTCATAGAGTACAAAACTGTTAATAATGTTGCTTCTAGCTTTAGGGAGGCTGTCAAAAATAATCTTATGCAAAAAGGAAGAAAAAAAATATAAAGGACTATTAATAGAGAAGACAATTATTCTCAGTGGTATGTCTTTTTTATGGACTTTAGGTAAGCCGTAAGCCCTGGGTAAAAGACTAGCACTGGATCTTAAACAATAATATGTTTTATCGTCTATATACCCACTGGTTAACCAACGTTTGAGAATCTCAAGAAGGTTGGATTCAATTTTTTTTACTGGATTTCGTGTTACAATATCATAGGTGTCTTTATTATTTAAAAGTTCTTTCATTTTGAACATGTAATCATCTCTACTCATGGCTACTGTTATGTTTCCCTTGTCCGCCCGTGTGAAAATCAAATCTGGATGCTGTCTCATAAAAGATTTACTCGACCTGTACATATCCAACATTTTTTTATCATTGTTAGAAATGTGAAATTTGTTATGAAAACAACTTTGCAACTGTGGGATCACCTTATTTCTGATCATTGCCTTGGACTTAATGTCATAATTTTTAATATTAAATTCCGTGTCTTTTATAAATTCAATGAATGAGTTTTCTTTTTATCTCTAATTGGGAGACAGTGTTTTTCACCGAATTGTAGTAAACAGGCTACATCTTCGGGAATATAATTAGTAGAAATATTGTGAAACCATTTATTATTGACCGTATACAACGGATTTGTAGGTTCTTTGTTGAGAAAACTATCATGAGAAACAAAAATAGCGACAGTATTATCGCTAAGATTTAACGCTCGTGAAATTGTCAACAGAAATATGTAAGGCCGATACGAGCCAATCGCAGGATGTTTGTGCGGAAACTAAACGTGTACATATATATATATATATACATGTAACGAACTATACTTATAAATTTTTACAAGTATTTTTTGAATTGAAAATCTCAATTCTTAAAATCATACGGGATGCTAGATTTGCATCTCACATATGAAATACCCCAAATACCACCCTAACTAATTTTTAAAATATTGCGAAAAAAACTCCTCGGCCAGGAGTCGAACCTGGAATCTCCGGCTTTATGGCACGGAAAGTTTGTGCGGACTCTTAACTACATAACTTTTTCAGAAATTCTTACTACCTATCACTTCATCTTTCACAAAGGACTTCCACGTGTAAGAATTTCACTTGTTAACTCCAAACTCTTCAAGTGCGTTTCAAGATGTGCGTTATTGTTAAATTTTAAATTTATTGTTACACTGAAGAAGGCTCAAGTAAGGGCCAAAACGTTTGTATCATTATATAATTAACAACGGCATGTTAATTTAATTTAATTGTATAATATAATATCTTTTTAAGAACTAATTGAGCTCGATACTGACCTTGTATATTGTGTTTTAATTTTAATTTGTTATTACCTCGAGCGGTTTTATTGTTACCATTTTACATTTATTTGATTTATTTGATTTATTCGATTTATTCGATTTATTCGATTCATTTGATTTATTCGATTTATTCCATTTATTCGATTTATTCCATTTATTCAATTTATTCGTTTTATTCGGTTTATTCGATTTATTCGATTTATTCGATTTATTCGATTTATTCGATTTATTCGATTTATTCGATTTATTCAATTTATTCAATTTATTTAATTTTATTCAATTTATTCAATTTATTTAATTTATTCAATTTATTTATTTCATTCTATTTCTTTCATTTGTTCAATGTATGTAATACTGTAGTTTACTTACAATTGCTGTAACAATATCGCCTCTTCGGTAGAACTATACGTGATTGTGAAAAAGTATCCGCTTCGTTGTTCCGCGGATAGTTGAGCAATGCTCTGCACTTTTCNAATATTATTTGCGAGCAGTCTCGCTTTTTGAGCAAGTGCTTCAGCAGCAGCTACTATACAGTCCGCAGCGTCCACACAATCTTTGATGGGATTCATATTGCTAGTGCTTGGATAATACAACTTAGACTCACTAACGGAGAAAACTTTCTGCATACGCGCTCTGCATCTCGTTGTTTTTATATGTCGTTGCAGAGGTTGTGTATTTCCCGCAAGTCTACCCGTATTCCCGCACAAACTTAAATTCATTAACAATATGCGGTTTAACGGATTGTTGTGGATGCTTAAACATCCTGCTGGACGATATAATCAGAACTATTTTTCTTAGAAACAGTACTGGGAACACTAGAGCGTCTCCGCAGTATCCATTGCATTCTGATTAAGACTATGCGTTATTCTTAGCATGCATCTTGCATTTTGCGAGATCAGCCGCGACTTCAGTTGCATCGTATGCAATTCTATATAAAACGTCTCGCGACTTCCAGCGTCGTTGACGCTTCCGCTGCAATCGTCTGGCGCGCGCGTTGCGGTTTTCCTTGTACTAAATATATACAATGTCATGCGTGTAACAACCTTTTTTTCTTTAAAAATACTAAATACATTGTTGTTGTTATTTGTTTTTGTAAAAATATTGCGATTGTCACGCCCTCTCTTCTTCGATCGCCATCGCGCGGTATTCGATTGTTATTTAGTATCAGTCTGCGCGCGCGAAGAAGATGACGTCGCTCTCGTTGTCGCTAACGTTTCTCGCGCTCCTCGTCGCTTCGACGACGGTAATGTCGATCGCGTCGACGAGGTCGATGACGAATACGACGACGAAGAGAAGCGTTGTCGATAAAAGAGAGACCGCTATAGCGTTCCTACGCAAGTACTGTTACCTAGAGGACAACGTGGATAACTCGTTGATATCCGAGAGCGCGTTGAATCACGCTGTCTCGCTTTTTCAAGAATTCTATAATCTACCCATAGATGGTGAATTAAACACAGAAACGGTGCGTGCAATGAAAAAACCGCGTTACGGAGTTCGAGACATCGAGACGCGTCACTCGAACAAGGAGCACATATACAAGTGGCCGACGAATCATCTCACATGGAACTTGCTGTTCGCCTCTAGAGCGAATCTACAAGTAGCGGAGCCAGCGTTCGCGCTGTGGGCAGCGAATTCCTCACTGACGTTTACACGCAGCATGCACAATCCTAACCTAGTGATTTCGTATAAAGGTGGACAGCACACTATGACAAGCATTACTAAGATACTTTGTGTCCGTTTGACTTTGATGGTCGAGGTGGAGTACTCGCTCACGCGTATTATCCCAACGGAAATATCGAACATGTATCTGAGGTACATATTGACAATGAGGAACAGTGGCACGTGCAGCTCACTGAAAATCCATGGAATAATCATCAGTTGCGAACGCTGACTCATGAGATCGGACATGCGATAGGAATAGAGCACAGTCCACACGACGATTCGGTAATGTACGTGTTCGTGCCTGTTAAACAGTGGTCTGTTACGCTCAGCCTGGATGATGTTCTGGCTGTGCAAAACCGTTATGGATCTAACCCGGATGCACCTAAACTACCACCGGTCTCTACATTTGTCCCTCTGACGATTGCACCGCCAACAACAACAACGACGACGCCGCAGCCGCCGTCGCTGCCGCGTAAACCCAAACCTCTACCGTTACCTAGGAACGCGTGCGAGGTGCGCAATCCCGACGCAATACTTTTAACAACCACCATTACGTTTATTACAAAAGATAAATACGTGTATATAGCCTCTGCGAACTGGGGTTTGCATATTTACCCACGTCTGTTGACAGAATACTTGCGCTTTCTCCCATCCAATTTTACAAAGTTGGGTGCGGTTTATCAACAACCATCCGGCGAGCTCGTGCTCTTCGCCAATGGTTACGTGTACTTGGTTTCCTATCCCAGTTTACAATTGCAAAACAGTTGGCCGCGCAGTTTCTCTGAGATTGAGTTGCCTAGCGATGCTGTCATTAACACTGCGTTTCAATCTCCTACGGGGCACACCTACATCATTTTCAACAACGATTCCGTGGCCGTTGTAGACGATTGTCACTTGAGAATTAAGGAATACAGCAAATTGAAACTGACGTTTCCAGGAGTTCCGTCAAGTATGTCGCTAGCCTTCCGTAATTCAGATGGCCATGTGTACTTTTTGTACTCTGACAGATATCTCGCGTTCAACAAATTCATCAATTTCATGCACTCTGCGGAACCTTTCAATATGAGATTAATTGATATCCACTGTCCAGATATAAACATTTTATACAACTTAAAGTTACTAGTTTCTCAACTCGAAAAGTACGAACACGCTTTTTATTCTGGGTAGATATACTGTGTGTGAAAGAGTGGGGGGAATTTCTTCATTTATCCTTAGGATATATATAAGGCGCTGCATGTAACCAAAACAGAGCGGTGACTTCGACGTCAACGATATTGTCAATTGAGAACTGTCAGCTGTATGTTACGGCGTTGCGCCTTCATAAATATTATTATTTTTTTGTTTCACTTTCATAAATGTAACTTTATTTTTACAGAACATAATAATAAATTGCTCTGTTCTTCAATAACACAGTGTTTTTTTATTTCACATTTCCTACCCACATATGCTTTCCTATTAAAACATTTTTTTAATTGAAAACACGTTTTTAACCAATAGTCCTTGTTTCGCTCCTTATCTTCCTCGCGATCTTTAGATTTAAAATTTTAAATTTAAAAAACCGTTAAAAAACCATATCCGGTACGTAACGGTTTTTTACGCAGTTGTTATCGCAGGAAATGATTCATCAAACCGGAAGTGCCTGATCGCTTCGGCGATAAGAAAAGACGCACTTCCGGGATGTTACGGTTTTTCTCGGAATTATTTATTTGACTGCACAGTTACGCGCACCGCTTCCAGAAAATTTGCGGTTTTTCTCGGAATTAGTTATTTTATTGCGCAAGTAAAAAATCTAATTAAGAGGTAACATTATTTTAGCGATGACGTCATCATCCGAACAACCTTAAACACGCACGGACCTGTTTGAGTTCTATTTTTACCGATGACGTCATCATCCTTGCGGTTTTTCTCGGAATTATTTATTTTAGTGCGCAATTTAAAATCCTAATTAAAAGGTAACGTTATTTTAGCAATGACGTCATCATCCAAATGACCTTGAACACGCACGGACCTGTTCGAACACGCACGAACACGTCCGCGCCCGCGCTGAACGACCTTAAACACGTTCAAACACGTTAAAATTGTTGACGCCATAAATAACGCTCACTTACCTGAAATAAATAAAACACGCCGAATAATGCATGCTTCATTTTTACGGCTCGTCGGTAATTGGCTAGTCCCGGTAGAGCCGATAAGAACGCTCCGCCGACACCACCCACACTCCTACGTTATCTCATTCGCAACACCCAAGTCCTCCAATCTTGCTCTCAATATTACGAATATGCTTCCAATGATCCCTTTTGCGCGGTGCCCCCGCTTTCTCTCTTGCCTCGTGGGTCAGAACAATCAATTTCTTTTAATCAATAATAATTGATAATCGATAATCGAATCATTAATAATCAATAATCGAATATCGATCAAATCCCCCCTCCCCTCTCCGTCGCGGTTCCCACTTCTGTCTCCGACGCGAGCTGTCGCCCCATCCCCCTTCCCCCTTGCCATCGACTCTATTTCTCTCTCTTTCTTTCTTACGGGCGTTTCCAGTAAGGCATGCTCAAACGCCTTTAGATAGACAAGGACAGAACGTGACTCGCCTATTGGAAATATTGCGCCAGAACCCGCATAATATACCTACTGTTGTCAATCTTTTTGTTGCCGTGTGACACTCGCCGCTGTCACGCTTACAGTTTACATCCTACGGTTTAACCACGCAAATTTTGCGCTAATTTGCCAATTCTTTTAAAGTAATATTTCAATAAATATTGCGAAAATTGCAAAATGGTAAATAATTTTTCTGTGGAGTTTACTGCGTTGTATTTAGTCACGATCGTTGGCAGAATCTTTATTAAACACCCTGTATAATACAATATTTCCTAAGAAGGGTCTGTGAAAAAACGCATCTGTAATCGGATTACATTACACGGTACTTCCGAATGCACAATTGCATCTAAAGATAGAATATTATTATTAGAAAGAATATGAAAGTTTAAGTGATTGCTACACGGAAAAAAATGGTTTTGTTGATTCAGCAAAGCTATAGCTTGCTACGTAAGTTTAAGATCTGAAACTAAGAAAATTTGGTAGCGCAACAAAGACATTAAGTTTGGAAGCATTTGTCAACATGCTCTACAGACACATATAGTTTTGTTAAATATTTTCGTAGCTACTATAACAAATTGCATAGAACTGATTTTATTTTATAAAATAAAAGTATATAATAATACAATATTATTACAATTTATTGTGCAAAACTGTAACAACAAATGAAAAACAAAGCGTACATCAGTCTTAGAAAGATAACATGTTATGACAAGTAACATGTATTGCGCTTAAATTGTTACGAAAATTTATGTTTTGAAAAGTAACTATGTTATTTTTCTAAGATTAATGTACGCTTTGTTCTCCATTTGTTGTTAAAATTTTGCACAATAAGTTGTAATAATATTGTATTATTATATAATTTTATTTTATAAACTAAAATCAGTGTTACTTGTTGTAATATGTATTGCGCTTAAATTGCGATAATTTATGTAATTATCGCAAGTTAAGCGCAATACATGTTACGATATGTTATATGTATCATTGCAAATAATTTTTTGTTACGTAGAAAACGATTCTATCAGGAGCTATCGGGAATTATTTCTATTGGACGTCTTGCACAGTAATGCATGTAACGTCACATTCGGAAACACCACTCGTGTACACACGAGCGTCATTCTATCTTTGTTTTATATCTAATGAGCAATAAAGATAAAATATACACGAGTGATGTTTCCAAACGTAGCCTAACTGTCCAATCATTCAAAAACAGTTGCGCGCCAGTGGTAGCGTTCGGCAATTGATTTGTGTGCCATTACACGCAACAGTTATCACGACGCAGCGACCGGCAGCGATTATGTTTCGATACGTAATAACACGTTAAGTACGTACGTAAAGTATTTAGCCAAACGTGAACATAGTGAGTGAACATAGTTTCTATAGAGTGAATATTTAGTACAATTGTTATCTCTACTTACAATATATACTTTTATAATTTATATTTAAACAATTTTAGCCATAAAACGTGTTACTACGTGTAATATCACCGGTGGTTACATTTTGATACATAATAACAAAGTTTCGACAGTTTTCAGTGTAAGTGAAACAGTGGAATATAAGTGAAAACTCACAAAAGGATGTATAGTGTACAAAATGTACGAGAATTGCTCGAACATGGGACTTTGATAAAGATGTCATTAAGACATTTGAAAGTGAGTATAAAATATAAATATTTCTAACCGTTTCTGCTACACATTATCAGAATATTTTATTTTTGTTATATTTACTTTTGTATTTTATTTTATATAATACTTTACTTTTTTGCGTTTCTAATATTTAATAGTTTCTTAAAACTAATTACAGAAAATGACATTAAATTAAATCTGCTCAAATACTTAAATGATGATGATATTAAATTATTGATACCAAAACTTGGGACACAAATTTTGTTTCGCGAAAACCTAAAAGAATTTTTGAACGCTAGGGTAAAGGTCCCAATTACCGAGGTTGTCCGAGATACCGTCACTTTTGCTTAAGTTAACAATTATTAAAATAATATGACTAACAATATTAAATAAAACAAATGTAATATAGTATTTAATATTAGATCAACGGGATAAAAAAGTTTAAATACTCAACTAGTTTAATATAAAGTCTGAAAAAATTATGAAAATGTGGCAATCATATTTTCGATGTGAATGATGCATTTTACTTATTGATATAACTAAGAAATAGGATTTTTTTAAGTTATCATAAATGTTATACAATTAACTTTAGGTCACTAAAAAAAGGTTTTTATATTCTAAAAGTTGTTATATTTTATATAGAAATTATAATAATTAAGGTTTTATGTATATTTTTGTAATTAATAAGATAATATATAATTGGTACATGGTTTTGATACATGTCCGTATTACCGAGGCTCGGTGATTAGGTCAAAAGTGAGCCTATCCCGATTACCGACACCTATAGTGTAACAAAACAAAGTACTTTAACCTAAAAAATCTCAAAAGTGTCGGTTGTACATATGTGGTTGGATATAGTTTTTTACAAAAAATTCTTATTGCATATTTATTTATATGTGAGATACAAGCCAAGAGTGATGATTGTTTAAAAAAACGAATAAAAAACATATAAAAAAACGTTGCTTATATAGCCAAACCACTTTGGCTAATGCTATAGCCGAGATCAAAGCAGGAAAGCCTGTTTCTACTATTAGTAAAAAGTATAACATTCCCAGGACAACCTTACTAGATAAATAGAAAGGCACTTATGCCAATAAAAAGCCAGGGCATAAAATTAAAGAACGTGAAATGCAAACAAAAATTTGTCAAGCATAATCGAAGACTGTGAATTTTATGATATGCATAATATTTGACACAAAGTTTATTTTAAATTACAAAATATTCAATAGATTATTTAATTTCTTATTTAATATAGTTTAATTTTGTTATTTACAAGCATAAAATGTTAAAAATCTAAATATTTTATTTATATTTAAACAGTTTAAAATTTTGTTTTTTATACATTTGAAAAGATTTAAAGGCTTTATTTAACATTGTTTAATTTTAGAAATTTTATTTAAGAACTTTAATTTTGTTTTCATACATATATATATATGGGTCAATCTTTTACAAACCGTACAAAATTGAACAAAAAATGACCGACCCATTTTTGATTTAGCTGAAACTTTTTTTACGGGTTCTATATCGAAAAAAAA